GAGAGAGAGAGAGAGAGAGAGAGAGAGAGAGAGAGAGAGAGAGAGAGCTCAATGCTCTGAAAATGAAAGAAATAATTCAAGCGAATGACATTTATTTTACATGTCTCCTTATTAGATTGCTGACCATCTGACCAAGCAGTTGGAAGCCAAAAAATCTCTCTAAAATTTAACATAGGTCCCGAGAGTTTTCAACTTAAGACAGAAATTGGGACAGAATTTCTGGTACTAAGCAATGCAGTTGTAAAGCACAACCACATTGTTTAGTGACCATTCCTGCAGTCCTGGTTACCACAGTTAATTGAACCCCATGGGTCTTTAGGTGAGGTGATTTCCTGCCGGCTTCCCACAACCAGTCAATGGGGAAGCTGGCAGGAAATTGCAGGTCCCTGGCTGGGTAGGTGGGAAATTGCAGGTAGCTGCTGCAGGGAGGCTGCATGAGAAGTGCCATGCAGCAGAAGGAAGATGCGCTAGGATGCAAAGGGTTGCGTAAGGAACACTGCACCAGTCAGGGAATGTGTGCAAGGTTGCATGAGAGGTGCAGATTGGGGAGGGGTGCAAGGAGATGCCTAAATGGCACCACAGGTTTGGGAAGGAAGCTTGAGAGAGGTGCCATGTAGGTCAGGGAGGATGTGAGGGGATGTGTGAGAAGTGCTGTGAAGATTGCAAGAGGCACCACATGGTCTGGAAGGGGATATGTAGGTGCAGCATGAGTCAGGAAGAGTGCAGAGAGTGCCTGAATGGCTGGTGTGGCTTGACCAGAGAGGAGCTACGGGAGGGTGCACAGCTGTAGAGGTTTACCCCAGGGATTGGTGGCCTTCCATATGGTTTCCCCATAAAGTCATTACAGACACGTGCAAATGGTGATTATATGATTGCAGATCCCTTGGCAATGGGTGGCAAGTAGGGATGGGTTGCCAAGGAAGCAAACCACAGGGGTGCTAGGATAGCTGGAACTCATAATCACCATTTGCTCACCACCATCATAACTTCAAAGAGTTGCTGGCTGAATGGTCGCAGGTCAAGAACTACTAGTGTAAGACACTGTATTACATGCCTACAAACACTCTCTCTATTGTGGATGTTGACTACAATTTGTCCTTCCGTTGCAAATTCTGTTTTATGTTGTCTCTGGAAAAGCACCGATCTGACCAAGGGAAAGTAAAATGAATGTTAGGGAGATCAACATATTACCTGACTGCCCTACAAAATATGGTACTAGCTCACGCTTAGCAATGAAAATCCCAGAGTCACCTTTTGGAAAGAAATGGCTTAAATGAAAAGAGTCCACCTCCAGCAGTCCCAGAAGATCTCCCTGCTTTGTTGCTCCTCCCAGCCCTGAAGCCAACCCTACCTCCTACACACACCTACCTGTGATCCTGTGCAGTGTACTTGAGCAGTTCTGCAAGCTGCAGAGGGTACTTGCAGATCTTCTGGACAGGGGTCAACAGGAAACCATCTATGGCGATGTCAATCATCTGCTGCAAGAGACGGCAAGCTTCGAAGAAGTGCTGGTATCTGCCGTCCTTCATTAGTTTGGAAAGCTCCATGCATGCATCCAAGTGGTTATTACAGTACTCAGAGTAGATCCAGAATCCATCTTGCTACAGAGAGGAAAACAGAAAGGGAGAGTGAGATGTACCATAAAGAAATAGCTACAGGGCCGATTTCAATCACAACAAAGAAGTTGACAAAAATTGCAACTGGAAAAGGCCACCGGGACTATGATGTCCCACCCCATACCTAAAGCAGGAATCTAAATTAAAAGCATCCCTGACAAACAGCTTTCAAGCCTCTGCTTGATCACCTCCATCAATGAAAACCTGCAACCTTACTGGGTCTTTGGTCACTGTCAAGTTTCTTCTCTTGTTGGAATGGTTTTCCTAACGTTCAGCCAGACACAGAATAACAGAGTTGGACCTTGGAGGTCTTCTAGTCCAATCTCCTGCTTATGCTGGAGACCCTATATCGTCCTGGACAAATAGCTATCCAACCTCTCCTTAAAAGCTTCCGGTGAGGGATGACCCACAATTTCTGAAGACAAGCTGTTCCACTGATTAATTGTTCTGTCAGGAAATTTCTCCTTAATTCTAGGTTGGATCTCTCTTTGATTAGTCTAACCCTCAGGAATCTCAGAAGGTTGTGGCATATCCTACATTTAATGAGGGACAGAAGTTCTTTGACTAACCTTTCCAGTAACTCAAGAATGCTGTCATAATGCCCTTCCACGACTTCTTCACTAGACCAAACATTTGCTAGATCCCACAATCTTTCCCTCAAAGGGCTACGGTCCCAGTCCAGCGAGACTCAGTTCAATCTGGATCTGAAAGTATGGCACTCACAACTGAACACCGTCATTCAAGTGTCATCAAGAGATTCTCAACTGTGCGGGTCACGGTTGACCCACAGTGCTTTTCCAAAAGGGAATTGGTCTTTCTTGGTTTTCTTTTCTTTTTCTGAAAACATTTCACTTCTCACCCAGGAAGCTTCATCTGTTCTAACTGATAGCGGGGAACGGAAGGGTTTATATTCTTTGCAGTCATCTGATTGTTAGCCCCCTGAGAGCCATAGAGGCCGCTTTTAATCAGAATAACAGAGTTGGAAGGGATCTTGGAGCCTTCTAGTCCGATCCCTTTCTCAAGCAGGATACTCTATACCAGGGGTGTCCAACCTTGGCAATTTTAAGACTTGTGGACTTCAATTCCCAGAGTTCCTCAGCCAGCTGGCTGAGGAACTCTGGGAGTTGAAGTCCACAAGTCTTAAAGTTGCCAAGGTTGGACACCCTTGCTCTATACCATTCCAGACAAGGGGCTGCACAATCTCTTCTTAAAAGCCTCCAGGGATGTAACATCCACAACTTCTGGAGTCCAGCGGTTCCTCTGGTTTATTCTTCGGTCAGGACATTTCTCCACCCATTGGTTCTTGTCCTGCCTTCAGATGCTTTGGAGAATAGGTGGATTTTTCTTTGTGGCAGCCCCTGTGTCATCATCTGTATAAACTCTGAATCAACTGACTCTAAAGATACCAGGCCACCTGACTTTTGTATGTATGGAGCAAACTGTATGCAAACTCCATGGGATTCTCACAGAATCTAATATAGCAGTATAAATTCTGTTCCAGGATTACTAACTTTCTCTTGTCTGAGTATCCAGATAGAGACAGAGTGCTGATGACAGGCGAATCTAAATGTCCATTTAAAAGAAAAAGAAAAGAAAGCTTAGCAAAATGCACTATGAATTAGCTAGCTCTGTTCAATATCAGGTGCTCGGATAAATCAGGGAACCAGAAAACATGATGGAAGAATAACTGGACAGCCAGGCAGCAAAAAAAACCCAAAACAAACCCAAGAAAGATAAAGTTGTCATCTCGGAAGAAGAAAAGTGTCCATAAATGACAAGTAAACTATCTGCCCTGCCTGATTTGGGAAAATCTGCCTTGAAAGGCAGAGAGGCTGCTTTTTCCAAGGACAGAGATAACAAGAGGTTTCAGGGTTCTTTGGGTTGATCCTTGGCTTGGTGGCAGGCTGAGCAACAGATGCTGCAGCACCCAATGAGATTCTTCTGCTGTGGCAGATTTAGGAGCATCTTCAAACCTGAACTTTTAAGTTCATCTGGACAGCAGCTTTATTGTGGAGCATCCCACCATCCACTGAGCCTTAAAACAGGCTGAGAATGAAGGCAACTTTGAGCTATGGAAAAATCTGCAGGAGGAAGGTGTATTTTTGCCTTGAGGCGAAACTCCTGGAGCCCAGCCAAGAGGACCATCACATTTCTCTGGAACAAATAGTTCTTCACTTATAACCATTTGTTTAATGGCCATTCAACTGAAAAAAATGAACTAACAGATGATAGATAGATAGATAGATAGATGATAGATAGATAGATAGATAGATAGATAGATAGATAGATAGATAGATAGATAGATAGATAGATAGATGAAAGAGATAATAGATAGATAGATAGATAGATAGATAGATAGATAGATAGATAGATAGATAGATAGATAGAGATAGAGACATAGACATAGACATAGACATAGACATAGACATAGATATAGATATAGATATATAGATAGACATTTACTGCCATTTTTTATTGTGAGCACACTGGCATAGAATAGAATAGAATAGAATAGAATAGAATAGAATAGAATAGAATAGAATAGAATGGAATGGAATGGAATGGAATGGAACGGAACGGAACGGAATGGAATGGAATGGAATGGAATGGAATGGAATGGAACGGAACGGAACGGAAGGGAACGGAGCAGAGCAGAGCAGAGCAGAGCTGGAAGTCACTTTTGAGATATTCCAGTCCAGAAGGAGAATACCATTTCAGACAAATGCCTGCCCAGTCTCTTCTTGAAAACCTGCAGGGATGAAGCACTCACAACTTCTGGTGGCCAGCTATTCGACTGGTTAGCTGTTCTCATTGTTAGGAAATTCCTCCTCAATTCCAGGTTGCTTCTCTCCTTGATTAGTTTCCATCCCTTATTTCTTGTCCTGCCCCCTGGTGCTTTGGAGAATAGCTTGACTCCCTCCTCTTTGAGGCAGCCCCTCAAATACTGGGAGACTGCTCTCATGTCACCCTCGTCCTCCTTTTCTTTAGACTAGCCAAACCCCTATGGTTTAGTCTCCAGGCCTTTGATCGTGTTAGTTGCTCTTCTTTGAACTTTTTCCAATTTCATCAAAACTTATTTCTGTTGCCTGCTCTCAAAAATGTACACATACATAACACACATATACACATGCTATATACATACATAAATATATACCTGCCCACATACATACATACATACATACATACATACATCTTACCCTCAGCAGTGCCAGAGAGAAGATTCAATGGTAGCCCCTTTATTGAGAGATGGTCTCCTGGTGATGAACCCGAGACCATCCGATATATTTTGCTGTTGCCTGTTTTATGCCAAGGTACCTTCAGGAATACTGTTACTATCTCCTAATCTCCTCAAGTTTTTTTTTACTCACAGATCAGACGCCTAAGCTCACCAGAAGAAATGCTGCTAAGTTTCTATCTGCAGTGATTGTCCAGAATGCTACAATCCAGAATGCTACATCAAGGCCACTCACTCAGGATATCACATCAGAAAACTCAGGAAATTATACCACAAGAACTCAAGAAGTTGCAACACAGCAAATGACCCAGGATATCACAGCACAAGACCAAGGATACCACAGCAATAAATCTCACATGGTCATCACACAACCCATTACCCAAGCCATTACAACACAGGAGGCTAATGGAAAAGAGATCAAAACACAAACGACCCAGGAGATTACAACGCAGGACCCAGGATACCACAACAAAACACAACCCATTACCCAAGCCGTTAAAACACCAGAAGCTAATGGAAAAAAGATCACTACAAAATAAACGACCCAGGAGATTACAACACAATATCCAGGATGTCTCCACAACAAAACTCACAAGGCCATCACACAGCCCATTATACCAACATCAACTCCATCAACCAATCAAGAGGCAGCAGCGCAGCCAACCACCCCCCCCCCCCCCCCAGTATTTATAGAGAGACGGCAGCTCCGATCACACACTGCTTTCACTGGCACGAAGCCAAAAACACCAGCCTGAGGATGGCAAGTGGGACCTTGCCAAAACATCACCAAGATACTCTTAATCTTACACGGGAAAAGACCTGAACACACTTAGACCTACATACCTGTACCTGTGAAAATCTATGAAAATCTATATATATTCTTCAGTTTTCGCGGGTACTTACATGTATGGCATTCAGCTTTGTTCGGGTATCTTCCCACGTCTTTATAGTTGTGCTTTTAAAGTTGTAGCAACGTTTCGGCAGAATCTCATCTGCCATCATCAGGCTTGTGTATTGTGTTCGTCTGACAAATACACAAGCCTGATGATGGCAGATGAGATTCTGCCGAAACGTCGCTACATCTTTAAAAGCACAACTATAAAGACGTGGGAAAATACCCGAACAAAGCTGAATACTGTCCATTTTGAATATGTAACGGAAAGAGGAAACTTGAGGAAAGAGGAAACAAAGTTGATGCTATGTGGAACAAAACTGTGACTGAATGTGGATGTTCTGCTTCAGATACCACCAAACCCCCTCATCCCAGAAGGTAACAAGGAAAACACGCTGTGAAGAGGATGCGCAGAGCCCCAGACAACCCTACGGACTCTGCACAAGCATCGCTTACATGCTACGGTCCTGGATAGACCTTAGGAGCAGACATTGCAATTACAACCTTTGCAGTCCTAGGATCAAAATCCAGTCACTTGGCAAGGTAGTCCTTGACTTACAACAGTTCATTTAGTGACAGTTCAATGGCCCTGAAAAAAGTGACCTATGACCATTTTTCACACTCATGACCATGGCAGCATCCCCATGATCATGTTTCAAAATTCAAATGCTTGGCAATTGACCCATATTTATGACAGTTGCAGTGTCCTGGAGTTATGTGATCCCTTTTTGTGACTTTCTGACAAGCAAAGTCAATGAGGAAGCCAGATTCACTTAACAACTGTAGCAAGTGCAGGTCATAAAATGGGGTAAAACTCACTTAACAACTGTTTCATTTTGCAACAGAAATTTTGGGCTC